TTAACTAGTTCAGAAGTGTGGGTCACATGAGTTCTCCTGAGAGACCGAAGCTCCGCCCCCGAGCTGTTTCCACGGCGATGAAAGCCCTCTCTTCATTCTCTATTGTGTGAGAGGAGGCCGGTCTCTTCTCTTCGCTCCCGGCTGAGGGCCCTTTAAAGTGTGATTAAATGTCTTTGAGATGGGAATCGGAGGATTTTAAGTAGGTCAGGTTATAAAAACAGAACGACAGAATTTAATACTTGTATGATGTGCAAAATATGAAGGTTTTATATCAGATTTTCTGAATCTCAGCTGCTTATGGTTGCAAAATGTGAACTATATTATTTGATAAATGCAACTGTAAGGCTAGAAGATATTAATATAATAATATGTTATGCTGTAAATTAAAATAAACTATATGAAATAATATAAACATCATGATTCTCTGGAGATCTGTGTACTGTAAAAACCTCTGTACAAATGAAATTTGTAGGTGTAAATATTTAAGGTTTAAATAATTTCAAAAACATTTTTGTTACTTGGAATAAAAGAATTGTTAACTTCATTTAAAATTGTATTTAAGCTAGTTTCCAAGACAACAATTGTCTTTTTTTTTGTTTAACTTGATGTACTAAAATAACTAAAACTGAAATAAAAATAATAAAAACTTATTTAAAAACAACAAAAACTAATAAAAATGGAAAACAAAAACAAGTAACTTACTAAAACTTTAACTAAAATTAGCTTGAAAGCAGAAAAAATAAGATCTATTAATCTATTAAAAATATTAAAATCTATTAAAAATAGAATATTAACATAAATAGTTTTTAAATGATACTAAAATAACACTGGTTGAAATTGTAATAAATGATTAAATTGTTACAGTTTTTTCAAATTCAGTTGATTATTAAAGTTTAAATGTTTACATTTTTGTCAAGTTTTGAATCATTTCAAAAACATTTTCGTTACTTGAAATAAAAGAATTGTTAACTTCAGTTGACATATAAAATCTTATTTTATTTCAGCTAGTTTCCAAGACAACAGTTGTCTTTTTTTTTTTAGTTTAACTTGATGTACTAAAATAACTAAAACTGAAATAAAAACATATTTAAAAACTAATAAAAATGGAAAACAAAAACAACTAAATTTAAGTAAAATTAGGTTGAAAGCAGAAAAAAATAAGATCTGATTTAGAATATTAACATTTTTAAATGATACTAAAATAACAGTGGTTGAAATTGTAATATTGATTATTAAAGTTTAATCAAAGCATTAAAACCGTATTATTAATGCTGAATGCTAGATTTTTTCAGTATTTGTAATGTACGAATGCAATCGAGTCTATTAACAGATGAATTCAAATGAATTCCTTACGGAGTTAAACTTGATCAGATCTCAGTTTTGTCCCAGTTCTTCAGGATCAGTTTAGCTGGCTTTCGTTTGTGGTTTTGCTTGATTGGTTTATTTTGCTCTCTGACTGAAGCTGACGGAGCTGAACACGTTCTTCCTGAAGCACATCTTCGTGTTCCCAGCATGCCACGCTCTCAGCTGGTGCCGGATCCTGTTCATCGGGATCATCACGGCTCCTACTGTACGGTACGTACAGTAACACACACACAGTCTGATGCATTTTAGAGGAAAACCAGCAAAGATGTCAGATGGGACTTGATTTTTATTCACTGGAAATTGATAAAAATCGCAAAAAGAAAAGGGTTTGTGAGCTGATGAAAAGCGATTAAAAATGTAAAAATAAATAAAATAAAAAATAAAAAAATGAATATAAATATAAATACAATAAAATAGAAATGTAATGCCCACACACCTGATTCATTAAATAAAAAAAATGTTACAATTAAAATTGATTAAAAAGTAAAATATAAATTGATAAAAATTAAAATGATATTAATATGAAAACAAGTGAATAAACATGATGCCCGCACACCAGAATTATTAATTAAATCATAATGTAAAATTAAAATGGATTAAAAATGTAACACAAAAATGGTTAAAATTAAAATAAATAATATTAATGTAAAAACAGTCCAATAAAAATGTAACCTGAATAATTTTAATATGAAAACGATCAAATAAAAATGTAATGCCCACACACCTGAATCATAAAAACGTGAAATTAAAATGGATTAAAAATGTAACGTAAAAATTGATAAAGAATTTAAATAAATAATATTAATATAAAGACAATCCAATAAAAATGTAATGCCTGCACACCTGAATCATTAATTGAATCATAAAAATGTAAAATTAAAATGGGTAATAAAATAACAAAAATTGATCAAATTGAAATAAATAATATTCATGTAAAAACAATCAAATTAAAATGTAACCTGAATAATTTATAATTGTGTTGGATGTAAGTACAATATAAACTAGGAAAAATATATATATACTGTATATAAATCATAAATATATATATATATATTTTTTTGTTTTTTTTGTTTTTTTGTGGTGATGTAAGCTTGAGCAGTGTGCAGGATTTATATGTATATATATATATATATATATATGCATTTTTAAAATTAAAAGTCAAAATGTCATGTGAGCATTATATATAAATCATAATCATATATAAATCATAAATATATATATATATTTTTTTTTTTTGTGGGGATGTAAGCTTGAGCAGTGTGCAGGATTTATATGTATTTATATGTATTTATATGCATTTTTAAAATTAAAAGTCAAAATAAAACACTTACTAAAAACATATTATTTGTTTACTTGCATGTCATGTGACCATTAAATAATATCAGAGAAATGTAAACATGTGTTGTTGAATTATTGAAATGTTGACTCAATCTCTGGGGGTCTTCAACATTGATCTAGAACAGTATTTTTTGAAATGTGGAATAACATGCCCTGTTGAACTGTGTATGTGATGGAGGATGATTAATGATCTGCTCTACAGGCAGTATTACGCGTACCTGACAGACACACAGTGCAAACGGGTCGGGACTCAGTGCTGGGTGTTCGGGTGAGTCACAGTGAAGGCTCTGGTGTAATCTGGAGCGGGTCGTCAGTCATGCATGTGTTTGAGGTCATGCATGTGTTTGAGGTCATGCATGTGTTTGAGGTCATGCATGCGCTGCTGCAGGTCAAACGTTGAACCACAAACCCGCATGAAAGCTGGTGTTCCACTGCAGCGCGCCGGTGGGCTTCACTGCTGGATTGTCATTTGCTTTATCTCAGATATGACCTAGATGTAGCGCAGATTGAGTTATCTCGTGCCAGACATCTAGGTTAAATCATCTAGACTTTATCTAACATCCTCTGGCTTTATGTTGCACAATTAACATCCAGTAGAAAGCAAAGCTGCACGATGTGTAGAAGTAGAAATCGACATTGCTTAGTGCGATTGTCAAATCAAGCAGTCTGTGATTTAATTACTTAAATGTATGCGCTACCGTTTTCACTCTGATGAAGAAAATCATGATGATTATTTTATATATATATATACACTACCAGTCAAAAGTTTTTGAATAGTAAGATTTTTTGTTTTTTAAAGAAGTCTCTTCTGCTCACCAAACCTGCATTTATTTGATTCGAAATACAGCGAAAGCAGTAATATTGTGAAATATTTTTACTATTTAAAATAACTGCTTTCTATTTGAATATATTTTAAAATGTAATATATTTCTGTGATCAAAGCTGTATTTTCAACATCATTACTCCAGTCTTCAGTGTCACATGATCCTCCAGAAATCACTCTAATATGCTGATTTGCTGCTCAAAAAAACATTTATTATTATTATTATTATTATCAATATTTAAAACTGTTGAGTATTATTTTTTCAGGATTCTTTGATGTATGGAAAGATCCAAAGATCAGCATTTATCTGAAATAGAAATCTTTTGAAACATTATAAACATCTTTATCATAACGATCAATTTAAAGCATCCTTGCTAAATAAAAGTAATAATTTCTATAAATTATTTCGCAAAAAAAAAAAAAAATGATACTGACTCCAAGCTTTTGAATGGTAGAGTGTATGATGTTACAAAAGCTTTTTGTCATCTAACTTCCTTTGGCTTTATGTTGCACAATTGATGTTCAGTAGAAAGGGTTGCGCAATATATTGAAATTAAATTGATATTGCACAGTGTGATTTAATTTAATACATTTATGCACTACTGGTTTCACTCTGAAACTGGTAGCGCATTTTTTTTTATTTGCCAGCAACCTGTCAAAATAAAAGCTTGATGGTTTAGAGTTTGAAAATGAAGAAATACATTTTTTTTTTTTACAGTAAAATAAAAGAATTTTATTGCTATTTTATTTTACAGTATTTCTACAATATATTTAGTTTTTGCTTAATATTTTTGTTTCATAATAATCACAATAAAATCATGATGTTTATTATTATTTTATATTATTTTATTTTATAATCATGTGAAGCCCTGAAAGATTTCACCTTAATTTTTTATTTTTTTTTTATTTCAGATTAGAAAGTATTTTCTCAGCCTTTTTTAAAAAAAAATTTTTTAATGCAGATGCACTCTGCGACAAATGCACACCACTAACTCTTGAACGATTTATTCTAAAGCTATTCCAGTCATCTGGTGAAATTTCAATGCAATATATGTCGCAGAAAACAAAATATCGCACTGTCAGTGTTTTCCAAAATGATGCCAAACTCTGTTTTCTGTCCTGCAGGGCGATCGCTTTCCTGGAGGCGCTGGCCTGCATTAAATTTGGACAGGACTTGTTTTCCAAGACGCAGGTTCTCTATGTGATTTTGTGGCTCGTGTGTTTGGTGAGTTCCTGTGGTTTTTCTTCACTTTCAGATAGAGCTGTGCAATTCATCGAAATACAATTTCGATTTCGGCCTCCAGCGATTATGAAAATACAATAATCGAGATAAAACGATTATTGCACGCCTTTCCAGCGGTGCGCTTTCGCTCCTCCATAAAAGCCCAATTTCACGTGCAAATCAGTAAAATCATAACGTGACTTTCGCAAAATGGGACGTGCTTGATTTATTAAAGCTGATTAGATTTATTCATGTTTTTAAAAGCGCGAAAGAGAACTATCGCTGTTGCTCAGGAGGATTTCTGTGCATGCGACGGAACAGAACACGGACATATAAAGTCAACTTTTAGCTTAAGGTGCGCGCCTAAACGGTCAAATACACACAAAAATGTGTCAAAATGTGGCACTTGGTGATTATTAATCACATAAACCCTCATCGGTTATGTATTAAGTGAACGTAAACAGTTGAGAATGAGAATACGTGCTTAACAGTCAATTAGATCCGTGCAGCTCTTAAAGTGACAGCAGCCTAATATTCCTGCTGCTGACTGTGTGCTTAATATTAATCAAACAACAAAAGACAAAGAGAAAATCACTCACTGCTCTTGACTGAAGGACTTTTGTAGCTTTAATAAGAAACAAAGGAAGTTTTATTTTGCATTCGATTATTCAGTTTCTGTAGTAGCTGTTAGCTAAATACTTTAAACTTGCATAAAAAACTTAAAGCACTGTTTGTTTCATTAGTATCTTTTTTTCTATTGTATTTGTCCTTTGCTTTTTTTATTACTGACCTTTTAATTATTTTCAATAATTTGAGGACTTTATTTTTAGTTTTTTTACTAATATTAGTTACCCTAGTATTCTGCTGTGGTGTTGAGAATTGCGAAATTTCTCTAAATCTCTAAATGTCTCTTAAATGTAGATGTCATAGCAACCTTTTTAACCATAATCGAGCAGCCCTACTCTCAGCTGTGCGTTGCATCACTGCGATTGTTTGATTTGCGCTCATTCAGCACTACAGAGCTTTTCTTGGCAGCTGTGGGAGGAGATTGTCTCTAAATAGTTGTTTTCGTGTGGAGTTGATGTGTCTTTGTCTCTGAAGGCTTTCATCACGTTCCTGTGTCTGTATGGGATGGTGTGGTACGCTGAGAACTACGGGCCCCGAGAGAAGGTGCGCCGTCATTTACTCAATCACTCCTCTTCCTGATCCGTTCATTTCGTCAGCCATTTTTTAAATTAGTCTTAGTCCTGTGTCAAATGTGCTTTTTAGTTATTATCATATTGTCCTGTTTTTGTCCAGTCAAGTCTTAGTCGACTAAATGTCTGAGCGATATGCTGTGTAATGGTTAAACTGATTATTTTGCTCAAAATTATAATTGCAACTAGATAGTAAAGTTCGTAGACAAACTTTGAAGTTGGCTTGAGAAAGCCAGGCCAGAAAATTTTAAAAGTTTTAAAGTTTTAAAAATGTTGTAAAAGTTTGACGGTTTTCAGTTTAAAATAGTTTGAAAGATTAAAGTCTGAATGTTGTTAGCATGATTAGCATGTTACTAGAATATTTAGCATGTTACTAGCATTTTGTTAGCATGATTAGCAAATTACTAGCATGTTTCTAGCATGATCAGCATTTTACTAGCATGTTGTTAGCATTGATTAGCAAGTTACTAGCATTATTAGCATGTTACTAGCATGTTGTTAAAATGATTAGCACGTTACTATCATGTTGTTAGCATGTTTCTAGCATGTTAGCCTGTTACTAGCATTATTAGCATGTTACTAGCATGTTGTTAGCATTATTAGCAAGTTACTAGCATGTTTCTAGCATGATTAGCATTTTACTAGCATGTTGTTAACATGTTACTAGCATGGTTACCATGTTGTTAGCATGATTAGCAAGTTACTAATATGTTTCTAGCATGATTAGCATTTTGTTAGCATGATTAACAAGTTACTAGCATGTTTCTAGCATTATTATCATTTTACTAGTATGTTGTTAGCATGATTAGCAAGTTACTAGCATGCTTCTAGCATTATTAACATGTTACTAGCATTCTGTTAACATGATTTGCAAGTTACTAACATGTTGTTAGCATGTTTCTAGCATGATTAGCATTTTGTTAGCATGATTAACAAGTTACTAGCATGTTGTTAACATGATTAGCAAGTTAATAGCATGTTTCTAGCATGATTAGCAAGTTACTAGCATTATTCTATTATGGTTAGCATGTTACTAGCATGTTGTTAGCATTATTAGCAAGTTACTAGCATGTTGCTAGCAAGTTTCTAGTATGATTAGCATGCTGCTAGCTTGTTGCTAGCATGTTTTAACGTGATTTAACAAATTGGTAACATGAATGAAAAATATCCAGCTAAAAACCAGCTAAAACCAAGTAAAACCAGCTGAATTAGTAAACTGTAGCTTAAAACCATCTGATTTAGTAAAAAATCAGCTAGAAACCAGCTAAAACCTGCTGATTTAACAAAAAGGCCAGCTAAAAACCAGTTTAAACCAGCTGATTTAGCAAAAAGCCAGCTAAAAACCAGTTAAAACCAGCTGATTTAGCAAAAAGCCAGCTAAAAAACAGATAAAACCAGCTAAAAACGGCCTAGGCTAGTTGTCTGGTCTTAGCTGGTTTAAGCTGAAAGTAGCTGGTTTAAACTTGGTTGTTCTTTTAGCAGATCTCCCAGCTTGATCAGCTAAGATCAGCCTGACCAGCTCAAAAGGTGCCAAAACCACTTTAAAACCAGCTTGGGAGACCAGCCAAAGCATCCGACCAGCTTAGGCTGGTTTTAGCAGTTTTTTTCAGTAGGGAGTTGTTAAGCTTTGCTATAGCAATAGACAGCTTAAAACACCATATAAGTCTCATTGTACAAAAGTTTTCACCCCCTCAATGAAAGTCTATGGGATTTCCGGTGGATTTGATAGTCTGGTTTACGAAAACCGGAAGTCGGAACAGTTCGAAAAGTCAGAGCAAATAACTTCAGACCAGTCTGAAGGTCTGACCCGAGTTTGGTGGTTGTAGCTTTAAAGGTCTAGGAGGATATGCAGTTCAAATTTTGGCTCAGAAGAAGAAGAAGATTAAATAGTAGATCAGTAAGCTGGCTTTCTCAAGTCAACTTTAATGATTTACATTGCATTAGAAGTATTGCACTTTCACCAATAAGCACAAATCAATAGATCAAATCAATGTCAATAGAACTCATGCACATGGTTTATTTTCCCCCTTCTAGTTTATTGATTTATTATAGGCTATTTATCATATAAATTAATATCAAAGACTTGCATATACACTCTCTCTGTCTACATTATGAAAACTGAAAACAAAAAAATATAAGTGAAATTCCTAATTCCAGATTGCAATAATGTTTCTCTATTAAAACAACTGCATTTATTCAGCAACCGAGATCCTGAGTTGTTATAGTTGAGACTGAAAATATAAAAGTGATGTTTACAGTATCCACACAGTGTTAAGTCTTAAGGGTTTTGAGCTGTAAATCATGTGATATTTTGACTCTCTAGAGCTTCTCGGAGTGTGAGGACAGTATTTACACGGAGCCGGACGACGCTGTGTCTGAATGCAGAGGTAAAGAAACATCATGTGTTGGTTATTAATGGTTCATTAGGGTAATTAATCGAAGCTGTAGTGTTATGATCTCTTGTGGTGAACTAGCAGAAGACAGACGGAAGCTGTTTTTAATACTAGACTACTGCTTACTGCACACTGTATGTACTGTATATCGCAGTCTATTATCAATTGAAATGGAAGATCAAGGTCATCCAGGTAGTTTTATTATGATTTTTAAATATTTTGAAATGGTTTTTATTTTTGTATTTTTCATTTTAATTCGACAGAATTAAAATGTTAATTTTTATTAGATATAATTTTTTATTTTCCATTTTTTAGTTTAATTTGACAGTTTTAGTAATTTTGTTGTTTTTTGTCATTTTTATTAGATATTGTTTTTATATATTGAATTCGTTTTTATTTTTGTATTTTTCATTTTCATTTTAAAGGTTTAGTAATTTTGTTGTTTTTTTTGTCATTTTTATTAGATGTTTTTTTATATTTTGAATTTTTTTTTATTTTTGTATTTTTAATTTTAATTCGACAGAATTAACTTTTTTTTTTTAATTAGATATAATTTTAAATTTTTGTATTTTCCATTTTGTAGTTTAATTTGACAGTTTTAGTAATTTTGTTGTTTTTTGTCATTTTTATTAGATATTGTTTTTTAATATTTTGAATTCGTTTTTATTTTTGTATCTTCCAATTTTCATGTAAAAGTTTAGTAATTTTGTTGATTTTTTTTTTAAAGATTTATTTTTATAATATTTTGAATTCGTTTTTATTTTTGTATTTTTCATTTTAATTCGACAGAATTAAAATTTTTAATTGTTATTAGATATCATTTTTTATTTTCGTATTTTCCTTTTTTGTTTGTTTAATTTTACAATTTTAGTAATTTAGTTGTTTTTTGTCATTTTTATTAGATATTGTTTTTAAATATTTTGAATTAGTTTTTATTTTTATAGCTTTCATTTTCATTTGAAAGTTTTTAGTAATTTTGTTGTTTTTTGTCATTTTTATTAGATTTTTTAAATATATTGAATTAGTTATTTTTGTATTTTAATTTTAGTTCAAGTTTTAGTATTTTTTTTAAATATATTTATTTGTTTGTTTTTGCTTTAGCAATTAGCTGAAATAAAATAAGTTCAAATTTTATTTAATATATTTTATATCAGTTAATGTATATTTACTATAATATAAATATAGTATAGTTCATGTATATTTTAGTCAATGCATATAATATGTTTGCATGCTATGCACAGTATCCTGCAGAAACTGTAAACTATCATTATGCATTTGGGAACGTGTTATTTTGGCCTATAGATCTTTGTTAGCATGCATGCATTATGCAGCTCATGTTTTCTGTCACATTGTAATGCATTTGTGCTGTAGGGGAGTTTGAGACGGACAGCACGACTTCCTCTTCTACCAGGAAACGGAGGGACTCTGTAAATAACACAAGCATCAATGGCGTGGAGAAATAAGCCTGACTCTGAAAGGATTTGCACACGTGTGGCTCCTGTGAACGGAGGGAGCATCAGATGAATGAGATTATGAAGGGTGAGATTGGCTCAGGTCTGGTCAGAGCGCAAGGCAATACTGTGTTTAGTTAGTCAGCTGACTTCACCTGTTGAACTTCAGAGACTGGTTAACCAGGTGAGATCCCAAGCAGTGCTGTGCGTCATGGTGTTTTCAGTCGCATGCGTGACTCGTAACAGTGCTGTAATCTATGTCACAGATGTTTTCAACGGTGTATTTTACGATTTTTCAGATTATGTTATCATATGTGACCCTGGAGCACAAAACCAGTCATAAGCCAGGGACACGAATCATAATGTGTCTACAAACGATCATGTATTTTAAAGTCAACATGAAATCAGAATTGACCCTTTTTACCTCTTAAAACGCATTCTTTTTGTGCATTTTGCTGGTGCATGTTTTTATTTTATTTTTGTGTGTGTGATGCAAATGTAAAGTTTGAGGTCTGTAAGATTTTGAAATGCTTTCTGCTCACCAAGGCTGCATTTATTTGATCAAAAACACAAAATACATGTGAAATAATATCACTATTTCAAATAATATACAGTATATGTTCAAATTCCACGATCCTTCAGAAATCATTCTAATATGCTGATTTAATGTTCGAGAAACATTTCTGATTATTATCAATGTTGAAAACAGCTGTGCAATGTTTTTGTGGAAACGGTTTTCTTTTATAACATTATTAATGTCTTTACGGTCACTTCTGATCAATTGAATGCATCCTTGCAATCTCAGCGAAAGCTCTTTCAGAGTCTGATGACGATGTAGTTGAAGCGCAGGATGATTAATGTGTTTGTTTTCAGTCTTCTCACCAGAGAGAGCCATTTCTGATGAAAGCTCGTTTCAGCCACCGAATATGAATGAAAGTAATTACGACCTTTTAATCTCACAGCTCTGACTTGTTTTGTTTGTTTTTTTGAATTAGGAGATTCATACTATTCTGAGAAGAAAAATCTTTCCGCAGGTTTATGACTGATAATTGCGAGACATAAACTTGCAAATGCAAGAAAAAAAGTCAGAGATATAAGATTTAAAAAATCTGAATTGTGAGAAAAAATGTGAGATCTAGTCGCTATTGCCTTTATTTATTTTTTTTATTCCTTGGAGGAAACAAGCTTATCAAAATAAGAAAGGTCACATTTCAGACTTTTTTTCTTGCAATTCAGATTTTTTTACTCTCACATTTGACATTTTTTAATTAAAATTCTAATTAAATTTTTTTTTAATCTAAATTGCATTCATCTCAAAAGTTTGTATCTTTCAATTCTGACTTCTCTCACAATTTTTTTTATTTTTTTTTATCTCACATTTCTGACCGTTCGGATTTTGTTTAATCTCACCTTTGACTTATTAACAATTCTTGACTGATAATTGCGAGACATAAACTTGCAAATGCAAGAAAAAAAGTCAGAGATATAAGATTTAAAAAATCTGAATTGTGAGAAAAAATGTGAGATCTAGTCGCTATTGCCTTTATTTATTTTTTTTATTCCTTGGAGGAAACAAGCTTATCAAAATAAGAAAGGTCACATTTCAGACTTTTTTTCTTGCAATTCAGATTTTTTTACTCTCACATTTGACATTTTTAAATTAAAATTCTAATTAAATTTTTTTTTAATCTAAATTGCATTCATCTCAAAAGTTTGTATCTTTCAATTCTGACTTTTCTCACAATTTTTTTTATTTTTTTTTATCTCACATTTCTGACCGTTCGGATTTTGTTTAATCTCACCTTTGACTTATTTTCTAACAATTCTGATTTTATCTCACATTTATGACTTTTTGTCACAGTTCTGAATTTTTCATCTCACATTTATGACATTTTTTAATTAAAATTTAAATTAATTAGATTTTTTTTTTTAAATCTAAATTGCATTCATCTCAAAAGTTTATATCTTTCAATTCTGACTTTTCTCACAATTTTGATTTATCTCACATTTCTGACCATTCAGATTTTGTTTAATCTCACCTTTGACTTATTTTCTAACAGTTCTGATGTTATCTCACATTTCAGAAATTTTTCTCCCAATTCAGATTTTTTTCTCTCACATTTCTGACTTTTTGTCACCGTTTTTTTTTTTTTTTTCATTTGCATTTGCACAGTTCAAAATTTAATACCGCAAACCCTATAAGAAATACAGTTTATATGCAGTGCTGAGAAAGGCAAACAAGAAACCATCAACAACATTACTTTTTCACAAAATATAATGCATGATTATCATTTCTGAAAAAGTCAGACTCGTGAGAAATGAACTCGGAATACAGAGAAAAGCATCAGAATTTTGAGATGAAAGAATCTCCGTTTTTTTATTGTTTTATTGATCGTTGGAAAGTTTTTGGTTTTGCATGTCTGTGAGAGTCATGTGCTTCATCGGTTGTGTGTCGTATTAATACCCTTAACACCAGTATTCAAGCCTTTACAGACTGCAGATATCTGCATGCATGCTTTAATAACTAGCACCTGTTTACCTGCATTCTATCGTTTAACTGCAGTGTCCACAGACTGAAATGTTTTGCACAGACAGAAGTCGTGCTCATCCGTTGAGTAGGCTGTCAGTGGTTTGCTGTTAAGTGTTGGGGGATTTATCGTGGCATCACTAATCAAACACCACGTCTTGTGAATTCATTGTGTTGTCTCTGTATTAATGTGACGGTCTGAGCGTCCCGTGATGCTTCATATCCATTTGCCAAACTCTTGTGTTGTGTGCTTGTACAGCCGCTGTGAAACATTTCAATGCCTTTTTGTCCTGATTTTTGCATCTCACGTAAATTGTAAATGATTCGGTGTCTTTCAGTGATATTAAACAGCTAGTTTTCTGTGAAGAATGGTATAACGTGACTGAACTCTGCAGCTTTTCAATATATGATGCTTGTTTGCTCACAGTTGACATGGGATGTAACTGAACTTTACGATTAAATTTCATCTGTTTCTTGTGATTTGTATTTTCCTGTATTTTTTCTGTATTATTAATTTGGTTTTAGGCTTTTCTGCCGACACAATAAGGCATTTGTTTGTCTGCTCAGAAACAAAAATGTTCATTAGATAATGTTTAATATACAGTTGTATGTAGATTATTATTATTATTATATTTATAAAATATCATATAATAAAATCATAAAAGATATATTTTATAATAAATTTATTTTAATATTTATTTATAATTATG